CGCGTCATCCACCTCCTAATTTCAGACATATCAGAAAGTTGAAACCACTTGTTTTCTTAAAGTGTCGGGATTATAAAAACAAGTTTTGTGTCAGTGAATTTATGTGTACATGACAAGAATTCGTTGATTAGCCCTCGGAAGTCTTTACTACTGTTCCTCTCCAATTAAAAACTGGAGAGTGGGTATAATCAAAAGGTGTAACATATATTTCCTGATATCGATGCATGTATTAACTCTCTCTCTCTACCTAAATAAACACCCTACACAGGACATGATCATTCTATCATTCTTGACTAGACATCTCAAAGAAGTGTGATTTAGACCTTTGAGAGAACTGGCGAGGAATGACGCTTGAATCCACGCCAAGAGAAATATTAAATCGGATCATCTTGAAGAGACTAAAAGATGCACTGGATGCGAAACTCCACCCGAGACAAGACAGCTCAGGGATGGCAAATGTTGTGCTGATCAAACTGTAACTCTACGCATCATCATCATCATCATGGAATAAAGCACAGAATGGCAGTCAAACTTCTACTTCCATTTCGTGGACTTTGAAAAAGTCATCGACAGCCCTGATTGCGAAGTAATTTGGAGACTTTTTCAGTACTATGGGGTACGGTGCGCTAAATCTTTGTCAACCATATTCAACAGCTGGCTGTATGACAGGGCCAAATGTCAAATGATCCTCGACGGAAAACTCAGCGAGGCGTTCGAAGTACATACAGGGTTAAGACAAGACTGTCTGCCTATTATCTGCTACGATGATATTCTCAATTGTGGTGGACTGGAATTATGCGTTAGACTGTGATCTGGGAGCGAGGAGACAGTAATACACTGAAAGACCGATAAGAAGACTCTAAAAGATTTGAATTCTGCGTGCGTAGATGGTTTATGTCCAGTGTCACGAAAATCCGAAGACCTACAGACTAAAATCATGAAGTTGGCAGAAGAGGCAGTCATTCAAGGGGGGTGGAGAGAACTTCAAATGAACATGGAGAATAGTGGAGGTGACGAAGACAACCATCTGCTATTAACGGGAACGATTTGACAGAGCTTACTTCCTCACTTATCTAGACAGTATCGTTTCAACTACGGCCAGTCGGCGCAGATGAGGATGTCAAAACCAGAACCGGAAAGGCAAGACAGACATTCGCTACTTAGCGTGTACTTAGCATGAAAACCAACATCCAAAGTTTCAACACCATTGTTACGTCGTTTAGTTCTTTTATATGGGTCAGAAACTTGGCCAACGCGTCACGAAAATCCTTTCGAACAGGCTACTGCAGACTTCTGTCAACATCTGCCCCCTTCGCTGGCTCTATACTGAAGATCAGATAAACTGCCGGAAAAATTTACATGAGCAAACTCTTGGAATGAGCCAGTTAAGAATCTGTCGGTCGACAAATATTCCGAGGAAAACAGGGATGGATTGGATATACGCTAAGGAGACCGCCGGCTGACATCGTGCTTCAGGCAGGAGTTTGAGTACAACCTGAATTGGAAACAATGAGTTGGAAACTGGTGCTATGATGACAAGGAGGAGATTGTGGAAGCAGGAAGAGACAAGAGACTATTGTCAGTCGTGACGTCAAGCAGCTAATAAAGAGAACTGTAGAGAAGACTACGGAAAAAAATGGATGCGTGTTATTGAAGCTCTATTTTCCACTTGGAACCCCATCAGATTAATACTGATAGATGCAAGTATCCTCAAGTCGAATCGAATCGGCGTTACTCCGTGCAGCAATTAGAAATGTTAATAGTGAGTCATTTGAGTGATGCGATGATGTAACATGAAACTAACCTCAGAAATCACAAGCAAGAGTATTTCTGAAATAACGGCTAGAATACTAAAACCATTCGGAAAAGATATCACACACCCACACGTACACGCACACACAAACCCAACACACAGTCATTTCATTTCATATCATGCAGATCGAGATATTGAATAGCAACACCATGTTTAGAATAAATTGTAACTCCGAGTCCAAAAGCATAAATTCACATAGGTGTACAACCTGGGTATTGTAGCAGTATGTAATTCCCTTCATGCCCTTGAAATACAAACGCAATCTGATAAAGTGCTTGGTCCACCAAAGAGCAAGAGTAATTTGCTCGGATGAATGTCTTGATGAGGAACTTAATAATATTAAACAGTTGCTAAGTGAAAATGGTTATCCTTAAAACTTTATTGATATGAATCTAAAATCAAAGCAGCCCAAGTTACCAACACTTCCAGAAAAGGAGGGCCTTATTCTTACAAATGCAGTTCCTTGGGGAAAACACCAGAGAGGTATTTACTCAACGCCTTAGAAATGCTGTAAAAAGAGTGTTCCCTGCTGCCGAATTGCTCTGTATCTTTAAAACCACTCCTCTTCTGCGTTCGGGAGTAAAAGACAAACTGCCTAATTTCGCCTCATCCATATGTATCTACCAATTTAACTGCTCCTGTGAAGTGAGCCAGTTACATAGGCCGTACAATTAGGCGTATTTCTCGTCAAATTTCCGATCATCATCCTGCAAAGTGGATTAGCAAAGGACAAACAAAATCTATTTGCAGCGCTATTCTGTCTCATCTTGTAGATACAGAACACAAGATTGACGTTAACCATGCTTTCAGGGTTATTTACCGCATACCTACGAATCTCAATTTTGCCTTAAGATTTCGACTACTAAATATTGCTGAGGTTGGCTGTTAGGATCTATATTAACAAGCTTAATTTATGCATCCAAAAGAAGTTACTTCAGACATTATCATTACCTTGGCCATCTAGGTTTGAATGATCATGAATTTTTGTGGAATTTTCCTAATTTTAGTTAATATTCTACTGGCTACTATATCTTTATTATTATTATTATTATAATTTTAGCATCTTTAATGGACTGTAATTGCATGATGACTAAGTTTCGAACACACCTGATTATTGTTCATAATCATAACATCAATTATAACCAAACAACTTCGAAAATTTCGTTTTATAGTATTTTTTATTCCTTCGTGTTTGTCATAGGGGTAGTAGAATTTTCTAGAAGCCCAGTTCGAGCGTTGAATCATTTCTGTTGCATGTATTCTTAGCTGATTTGATAAATAAAGCTCCCCTTATCGATCGCTTTCTCTAGCCTGTTACATTAGATTTTAAAACTGTCATCCTATCCCATCCTATTGTATAGCTGGTTGTGTGTAATTGCATGTAGTGTGTGGTATAGCTGAACTATTCTCTAGATTTCTTGTCTTATTTGGGTCAGCCAATCTAGACTTTGCTAAGTTTTTACGTTCGGCTAGTCTATCTGACTGTCCCTGTTCTACTAGTTTGACCTATGTATTTGACCTGACAATCATTGCCAGTAGGGTATTAGGTAAACTAAATTGTTTTGTTTTATTGGTTCCACAGTATAAACCCTCTAACCGACAAAGCTTGATTCTAATCGAGTTTGTACGTTTGAATGCCACTTTTACTCCTTCCTGCATTGTTAAGAATCCTACAGAAGGTTACCGAGTTTCCTTCTTTGTAGGGAAGTACTGCTGATGATTTAAATTCCTTGTTGTTGATGCTGTCATCATTCTGTACATGTTGGTCCTGCACGTCGTCGCTACAATTTATAATTTTATGTCCATATTTCCTTACATACTTCCTGATTAATTTATCAGGGTAATCATTAAGTTTTAAAAAGCTTCTCCTCTTATATGCATCACTTTCTGTCTTAGATTTTCCTTGGTACTACTTAGTTTTTGTGCTCTGTCACTTAAACATTTCACCAATTCTGTTTCTGCTGACATAGGGTGGGGGATGATCGGAAGTCTAAATATCTATTTGAATGTGTGGGTTTCCTATAAACACACACTAGTGTTTAACTTCCCATCTTCTTTCCCTTTCACGCTACAATTTAACATTGGAAGGTCCCCCGCTTCCTGACTTTCCAATTCACAAGTGAATTGAATTGCCTCCCTCACTATCCCCATTTCTATTCAGTTTCATCATAGATGTACTAATGGACTTAACCCTAACTCACTTCAAAGACTCGGGAATTGACTTGCTACCATGGAATAATCCCATTGACTTAGAATATGCAGATGATATAATCCTTCTAGGAGAGGATGTTGACAAAATGCAGAGTCTTCTGAACACCTTGAGCTGCAATCTACGAATGTTTGGCATGCGATTCACTCTCGCCAAATGCAAGATGATGTTACAGGACTGGACTACACCGACTCCTAGCTTGGAAACAGGGAATGAAGTGGTAGAGCACATTGACCACTTCACTTATTTGGGAAGTACCATCAGCTCCAACGGGTTGATCTCTGACGAAATGTCCACACAGATACAGAGGGCTAGTTTCGCATATGCCAGTTTACGCTGCCTCTGGATTAGTAGATGTGATATCCGGCTATCGACTAAAGGGTGGGTGTACGGCTCAGCACTCCACTCCGTCCTCCTTTATGGCTGGCTGTGAGACCTGGCCATTGAGAGTGGAAGACATAAAAAGATTAGCTGTCTTTGATGATAGGTGCCTGTGTTCTGTTTCCCGTGTGAAGTGGTATAATAAGGTGAGCAATATTGAGGTTAGGCGTCGAGTGCTAGGTTGGTGGGAGGGGAAATCACTCGACGAGGTTGTGAAATTACATCGACTGAGATGGTTAGGACATATGTTACGTATGGATGCCTAGTCATCGCCTTCCTCAACAATGGGCAATGTTAGGTGACATAGGATTGGTCAGGCTGGGAAAGAGCTAGCGGCGGTCAAACCAAAACATGGCTTCATCAGTCAGTTAAGTCCACAACCGTTAGTTTAAGCCACGTAGGAAGGTGTAGACTTCCTGACTGGTGGGGGTCCTCGGGACGATAAAAACCAATGAATATATCTGCTTCAATCGGGGGATATTAGGGACATAAAGTAGTTGACTGTTAAAATACACACAACATGTATATCCATCTTCAATCAATCAATTAATCAATCAATTAAAAATTATGAATTCGAGAAATAATCACAACACTTACTGCAACAACAGCAAACAAAACATGAATTATGATATAAATATCCCATAGCATAACATGCATCCGTCAAATTAACAATTCTCAAACTGCATTCAGCACAATTACCAAATATTCTTGGTGTGGATCCAATCGGAGAGGTTGATTGTGTACTGTTACCAGTTGTCAGTTCATTTCCACTCCCGTAACCACTGCTTCCTGGAGTACCAACACGCATACTACTATCATTCATCACTGTGTTCACTAAGTTATTATTATTATTACTATTGTTATTGTTCGATGGTGGTGGCGGTGTCGTTGTTGTATCAGACATGATCATTCGCGGAGTATTTCGTGTTGATGAATTCATTATTCGATTAGAGCGTTCATTATTCACAGGGATATGATAGGCTGATGTTGTTGACGATGTCATGAAATATTGTTATTATTATTGATCTGATCAGGTAATTATTGATTTGTTAAATGTGAAACCTTTCATTCAGAATATATATATTGTGTTTAAACTTCCACAAAACATAGTTATTAACTGCTTCTGCCAAATATTTACATTTATATATAATTCTTTAGTGTGTACAATATTGAATGAAAAAGGCAAAGTTAAATTCTATTCTTTTTCTTCTTATTATTATTTTGATTATTCTGATTAAGGTTATAAATTCTTCCTTAAAAACTGCTTTATTATTTGCATATTTTTGTTGTTGTTGTTGTTGTATAGGCTGTGCAAGGTAAAATGGTACATAAGTAAAGTAATAGGCACATTTTTAATGCTGATTGACTGCCTGACTGACTGACTGACTGTATTATCAAAATTTTTGTAATGACCGCTGACTTCATTGATTCACTTAGGCGTACACACGCGTATAAGCATAAATTGGTATACATGCAACACATATACATACATACAAAACACCGCATACTATCAAACAAACATATCTTTCGCTAACCAATCAAAATACAGCATTAGACGATTGAATTTTACTAGCTTAATTCTTATTGGATGATATTGGTTATTAATATATATATATATATATGTCTGTAATTGTTATTCTGATTATTTAATCAATAAATATGCACAATTTGTCGATAATACCATACATATATATATATATATATATATATATGCTTTGCTTTGCTGTGCTGTGTTGTGTTGTATTTAAGACCAGAAAATAAAAAAGGAAAGTATACCAAAATGTGAATTACATTGAGGCGTGAAGCATACCTTCATTTTATTTCAGATCTTTACTGTCGCCATTTAACTGGTTGCCTTCATGACTATCAATCAGTAACTCTGACTTCTTCCCTCTCTTCACAGGGAACTCCTCCATGACATTACTTGGAATCAAGTCAAACTCGTCGTCTCCTATTTGGGTTCTACTCGAGAGCCTAGTCGCCGTGTGATGTCAATCAATAGTCTCTTCAGCGTGTATATCCAACTCTTCTGCATATCTGTCGGTTGACAGGTTCTTTGTTGGTTCATTGTCTACGAAGGTTCTATATGTACTACTGAGCGGTTGAGATGAGTAGTTAGTTGTATACGACTTACAGAAACCAGTAGTGCATTCTAAGCAGCTGGATCCATTGAAATGATCTAAACACTGGATGGCCGTTTCGATAGTTTGAGACCGGGCTCATCACGGGTTGGGGGGGGCGGTGCATACGGTAGAACTCAGCTCAGACCGCTGAGTCACTTCAAGCCACCTATTGATCAGCTTTTCGACAAGTGAGAGAAACGGCAGTCCGGTGTTTCGCACTGGTTCGTGTGAGGGGTATCATACAACCACTCATCTGATTCACTCAGTAGCACAAAGTTTTCATTCCACGCTAGTGTGTGATGTGTCTGATTCTTTCCTTGGTGCAGACTGAATTCTATCAGTCAGTCAGGTTTGCAATGTGGCCACCATTTCAGGTGACTTGCCATCACAATGCACATTGGTTTGATGATATTCGATGGTTGGAGGCAATCGATCACAGGAACCCCTACCTGGCCTACCTAGATTTCGTGCCAGCTGGCAGTTACCAATCAACAAGGCATATATCTGCAATTACCTTGAAGGAACAGTTCATATTCCTTCTGAGATTTCAACCCGTTTCACCGAATGCTGCCTTCAGTCAGAGACGATGTCACCAATAAGCCATTGACCTCCCTTAGGAATGTATTGGATAATTTTCTGATTGGAAACTAGTCATTAACTGGTGTAATTTGTTTAGTTCATCGTTTGGTGCAGACTGAATTCTCTCAATTAGTCAAGTTTCCAATGTGGCCACCATTCTAGGTGACTCGCCATCAGGGTGCACTGTGAGTTTTTGATACTACCCGGTGTTTAGATCACTTTCTCCGATTTGGTTGACTAGCAGACAATAAAACTGGTCTTGAACTGGCAGAAGTTAGAATTCATGGGCTAGCTGGTCATTGGATTGGGTCTCAGTGGCTTAATGGTCTACCAGCTCACTAGCCTTATAACCAGAAGGTTCTGCCTTAGAACCTTCTGTGGTGAGTGCGCACTGGGGAAGAGTCCCAAACTAGGCTGGCGAAACAGCCGGCTGTTCAGTACTGCACGACTGGTTTTCTAACGGTTCTCTAACTGATGTCAGCTCATAATGAAATCTTCCAACCACTCAAATGGAAATATTAACAACAATATAATTATGAAAAAAGTAAGAAGAGGATCGTCTACATAGAGTTCCTCAGTAACCTGATAGTGGTATTCAACATTTGAATACCAATGAGATGCTCACTGGCGACTGGCCCTATTCAGGTAGGTAGTAGTTACCTGGGTTCCAGTGGGAAGTCGTGACCAGTAGGGTGCAGCGGGTCGGGTTCGAGGACAAATACTCGCCGAAGACATTGGCTAGCGGACCATTGGATCGGGTCCCAGTGGCTTAATGGTATACGAGCTCACCTGGGTTCAAATCCCGGTGGGTGCGTACTGCTGAAGAGTCCCAAACTAGGCTGACAAAACAGCTGTCCAGTACTACCAGGTTTTCCAATGGTTCTCTAACTAATGTCAGTTCATGATGAAAATCCTGAAACCAATCAAATCCCTACAAACCAACATTTGAATACTATTTTCATAGTCTGAGGAGATATAATATTCGCTAATTTTTTGTATGAGTGCATGTGTCTATCTACAATAGCAGTAGTATTGACGAGTTGGCCTAGTGATATCCCCATAGCACTCATCTTGCTGACAGCTCTTAGTGTCCTTCTCAATGTAAGTAACGCAGTCTTTCTGAATTAACCAATGAAAGATTAGGGAGACTGAGCAATGAAGGTGAAGAAGACGGGTAGTTAGAATACAAGAACAGACAAACTGTAACAGTAGATACTGAGTGATAAAAGAATGTCACTCAGTACGGCCTGCATTCAGAGACGATGTTACCACTGAGCTATTCGGGCTCACGATTGACCTCCTGTAGAACGGTATTGGATATTTTGACTGGACTGAAGCACTCGATTACACGGGTTCAAATCTCAGAAGGGACATGAGTTGTTCCATCAAGATTGCTGCAGATACGCCTTGCTGACTGGTAAGTGCCAAATAGCACGAAACCTTGGTTAGGTAAGGCTTCTTACCGACTGCCTCCAACCACCTAGTATATAGTTTAATGCAGTCATACTTGCCTCTTTTACTACAATTCATGGCATCATGCAAATCACACATTATGTGGCTGAAATTTTATCTCGAAGTGTGTGAATTTTGAATTTGATTCATGCCTTACCAGAGTTTCTTATCGCTATGCCGTTCTGTTCGGCCATCCCACCAAGACAACTAGTAAAACAAATGTTGTGCCAGACTACTGCAATAGCTTTACGAGATGCATGCATCTCCATCCATGTCACCTGTAGCTGTAACTCTGCTACCTGTTAAGATAACTGGTCAACAATAAAGAATAGACACCAAATTCATATGACCTAGAACCAACCAATCAGATCGCTAAGCATTACAAATGGATGCTTCTCCTAATCTTTGTTGTAAGTTTCACCCTAAACTTAACTCTGAATCAGAATGAAACGAAAATTATGAAAAGCATCGATTTGTAATTTTGGGCAGTGTGATTGGTTGGTTCAAGGTCATGTGACTGTAGTGTCTATTTTTTTAACTGTTACCGGTAAGTTAATTGGAACAAGTGACTTCTTTCAAATTTCTCCTGTTGATGGTGACTGGAGATTTTCGTTGTTGGTCCCTCCTGTCGAACTTTTTTGCTAACATAAAACACAGTTCACAGATTAATTCCTTGCATAATACTCACTGATAGTATATCTCGTAAGATGTAACATCATTCGTCTATCTGAAGCAATAACAGACAGAAGACCAATAGTTCAGCGAAGAGTCTCTTTTCGGTGGCGACGAATTCATTTTCACAACTGTACAATCGCAAATATATGTATGTGTTATTTTGTCTGTATGCATGTATGTACACTAAATTTGACAAACGAAGATATAATTAGTAAGTTCAGATGAATTGGATGTTGATATAAGAGGGTAGTAACAAAAGTGATGAGTTGTCGCAAACGACTGTTAAAGGAAAGTTGCGCAATATAATGAATAGTCTGATGACAGAGTTGTGGTCAGGGTGAACATGGAAATAAAATAACATACGGAATTACGTAAGAGATTTAAGTAGTTTGAAAAATAAGCATACAAGCAAAAGTTAAGTCAAATCAGCAGAATTATTACCACAACAGTAGAAGTGGTTAAATAATTTTCTTTCGTATGCATAGTTCTGGTTCTTCAAACTGAATGGCTAGGGCTTCTGCAACACAAAGAAGACAGAAGCGTATTGTCTTTGGCAGGTTGTTCTTCACTTTGTAGGTAGACTACTTTGAAGCAAGAGGCGTTTGTTGAGATGGAATGACCAGTGATGGGTGACGAGATGTTCGATTATTGCACTCCTTATACGGTGGCCACTACTTCCTTTCTGCAGCCACTTTGGATAGTGTTCTTTGACCCTTTTTGACAGGATGCGCGTCGAATAATTGATGTACCTGGCTGGCTCCACAGCAACAGGTGATCTGATATATACACTGAAGAACACTACTCCCAATGTTGCGGCAAAAGAAAGTTATTCTTAAAGAAGTGGAAATTCTCCTCCTACAGACATCACTGAGTAGGTCACCTTTGAAGTCAAGGTTCATTTAAAATTATCTTTTTTGGCACGGATGGGGTCTGTTGCTTTTGAATTTTCTGTTTGGTGTTTTTACCTATGAATCATGGTGGGTAACCGTTTTGTATGAAGATTTCTTTCTGGAAGTTTAGGTCTTCTTTCAGGGTATCAGAGTTGCAAATGCGTCGGACGCGAGTAGCAAGAGATCTAATCAGGTTTTTTTTCGACTGATTGGTACCCAGCCGTAGAAGCTTGTCAGTTGGCCGTTCCACGTGGGTTTCCTATGGGTGGACCTTCTTAAAGTTCCATCAGCTCTCCCTGTAAGTTTAACATCAAGAAAAGGAATTTTAGATTCGTTTTCAGTTTTAACAGTGAACTTTGTAGCTGAATGGCATTTGTTGAATATTTGTAGTAACTGATTAAGAACACGACCATCATCACAGATAATAAAGATGTCGTCCACATATCTAGCATACAACTGGAAATTTTCAATAATTGATTTGAGTGGGTCGTTCTCGAGGTTTGCCATGAAGAAATCTGTTAGCAATGGGCCCAGTGGAGATCCCGATACGATCCCATCTTGTTGTTTGTTAATAACATCGGTGAATGTGGATTGTATATTGAGTGTATATCTCAGTAGCGGTTCTTCTAAACAAGTCGTCGGTGATTCTATGTTCAGCTGGTTTTCGTCTATATATTGACAAATGTGACAGACAGTTTCTGTGAGTGGAACG